TCTAATAAAGCTTGCCTGGAGATCAGAATGCAAAGCTAACCACAGCCATAGAGGAAGGCAGTAGTGGCACACACCTTTAATCCCAGGATCCAGGAGACACATGCAGATGGATCTCTGTGAGTTCAGGGCCACCCAGGGCTACATGAGAGTGAATCAGTCTGAAAAAATAAACAGAGCTCACGCCTTTAATCCCAGCACTAGAGAGGTATACATGACAGGAGCAGGGTCTCAGAGCTAGCATTTAGTCTTAGGCATTCAGTCTCCAGCCACACTGAGGATTCGTGGAGCCAGGATCGCCCTTTCAGTCTGATGTAGAAGTAAGAGCTGCTTTGCTTTTCTGATCATCGGCTTGAACCCCAATATCTGTCTCCAGGTTTTCTTGTTACACATGGTATATCAATTCGCAGTGACTAGGCTCCTCTTCAATGAAGGCTGAACGAGGCAATTCCGTAAGAGGAATGGGTCCCAAATGTACACAACACAGTCAGAAAGAGGCCCTGCTCTCTCTGTTAGTAGTCTCACATGAAGACCAAGTTATACAACTGTAACATATATCCAGAATCTTGTCTCTCATATTTTTGCTATCTTTGGCATAAATTTGGTGATACTTTACTTTTTCAAAGAAACAACTTTCGTTTATTCTATATAATTGTATTCCGTTAACTGCTGCTCTGATATTAATTATTTCATATCTGTTTTTATGTTTCCTTATTCTTGCTTTGACAAGGCTGTAAGGTGAATCATTAAGGTATTTATTTAAGATCACATTGGTTTTTCCAATACATCTATGAACTGCCCTCTTAGGATTACTTTCATTCTCTCTCATAGGTTTGGGTATATTGTGTTTTAATTTTCACTTGTTTCTTTGCAAGTTTTAAATTCCCTTCTTGACTTATCCATTGACACGTTATTCATCATCCCATAGCATGTTGTTTACTCTGTGTGAGTTTGCCTGATTTTATAGCTTCTCTTGCTGTTGAGTCATGGCTATATCCTGCTGGTTAATGATCTTGTCTCTTTCAAGAGAACTGATTGTTGTGTGTTGACTATTTTCTTTCACCCAGTTTCTTTAGAGAGGCTTTAATCTACCATGTTACCCAGGAATCCTAGAAGAGTATTTTCTCAACACTGAAAGTTCTTTACTTAGGACAATTACTATTATATGTGATTTAGTACTGTTGTTAGTCATAAAAATAAGCAGAATTGATACATGCTTCCTGTGTTTCTTTTCTTTTGTATATGTGTATAGGTGTACCATCCATGCATATGTGTAAATCAGAGGCTGATATTAAGTGTCTTCCACTCTGTCTCTCTCCACCTTATTTTTGAGAAAGTGTCCTTTAGTGGACCTGGAACTCAGTGACTTGGATGGGATACCTAGCCAGCAAATTCTAGAATCCATCTTTTTCCCACTTCTCTCCCTGTACTGGGTTATAAATGCACACTGCCATGCCTGGAATTTAACTGTTTACCAAGAATCCAAATTCAAGTCGTCATGCTTAGACAGCAAGAATTTTACCCACTGAGCAATTTCTCCAACTCTTGCATTAGTTTTTATTACAGGTGATATTATTTTATGGTCTGATTAACAAAGCATGAAAAAAGTAAAAAGCACAAGTTACTAAACAATAACATTATTGTGAGCATCTGTGTGTGGTTGATTGCATTCCTAGAAAACTCAACAAAAGTAAATTAAATTCTATTGTAACTAAGTAAACAATTTCGCTAGGAGACAGTTTTGGCCATTACACCTTATAGTTTTGGTTGTGAGCCTAGCCTTTAACGGCTGAACCATCTCTCCAGCCCTGGCCATTACACCTTGAAAAAGACCTCTACTATAAAGTTGATTTAAAATTTCTCCTTTAAAGGTATGATAACTTGCCACATGGGGATACAAATAAAAGTTTGGTAATTATATTGGTTTCCTAGGATTGACAGTGGCTTAACACTGTAAGAATGTGTTCTCTCCCTGTTCTAGGGCCATGGTCCTTTGAGGGCTCTACAGAGGAAGACTCCTTTGTCTCTTGAGGCTTCTGCAGTTGTCAACAATCTTTGAGTCTCTTTTATCTCCACCTTCATCTTCACAAGACTTTTTTCTCTCAGTGTGTTTGTGTATCTCCACTCCTATTTTTACAAGTCATTTGAGTCAACACACACACCAATCTGCTATGACTTCAGTTTAATTTGATTACATCTGCACAACCCTATTTCTAAATAAAGTCAGAAAGACTCCAGTGGATCTGAATTTTGGCAGAATACTACTCAGTTCATAACTGAGAGTAAACCCAGTTTGTTTCATTCTGCCTGTGAACTAACTGAATCACTTGCATTGACATCTAACTCCTATTGTTCATATAAATTTCAACTCATATCGGTATTAAAAACTCTGTATTTGTTTATTTATCTAGAGAAAGATGACTTTAAGAAAGACAGCTCTTATCCATTCAGCAGTGGGTATTAACCCTCCCTCACTTGATATCAGGGACAGGCCTCCCTCTCAGAGTCTGATTCCATTAGACAGGGTGAGAAAAAAGCATTTGGTTCTAATATAAAGCTCATTTGAAAGCTGTTGTCTTTCACTTTTAACTGTGTTCCCAACACAGAATGGCCATTTAGAAGATATGGACAATATACTTTCACAACACTTATACAAAGCACATAAATGGATTCATGCACCCTATGCATAAAAACACTAATAACTCTACAGAATATTTTACATGACTCTTGACCATCAAAAGTTAATAATCTACATAGAAGTTTAATATAAGAAAGAAACTAAATAAATAGCCAAAGCAATAGGATAGCATTTAAGAAATTTGTGACATTTCCAAGGGTTCCTCATTGGAAGAGAGGAGGCCATTGTTAATGACTTCATTATTCAAGAAGACACTGTGACATTGTGAATTAAAATTAAGTATAGGAAAATAGAGAAGTAAAACTATAGCCACATTAATATAGATATCCAATCAAAACTTTCATTTTCAAATAAGTATTTGTTGTCTCTAAAGATTAACAGAATGTCTGCCTTCTATAAACTCAGTGTACTAAGAATGCAGCTATACAAAACAAAGCAAAGACAATACAAGCATTATTGCAGCAATATATAAAAATATGTTGCAATTTTAACGTTATTCTGGCCTAGAAATCTCACGTAGGGATCTTAAGCAGTAGAATATATATATATATATATATATATATGTATATATATATATACATATATATATAGAGAGAGAGAATGTTTACATACTTATTACTAGTAAAGAGGAAATGGAGGACAATAGAAATTGAGGAGAAGAATACACCCTTCTAAGGAACCGGCTGAATAATAAATTATGGGACTCATATACAAAAAGAATGAGGTACATATATAACACACTGTTCAAAAGGGCAGAAAATTACAGCAGCACAAAATATTTTGATGACTATTTTTGTAAAAAGAAAAAAGAAAAATTCTGTGCTTTGTGGTGATATATTATTTATGATTTATTAAAGCTTGCCCGAGGATTCAGAAAGCAAAGTCAGTCACAAGTTATAGAGAGCAGGCCATATAGTTAGACACCTTTAATTCCAGGACTCAGCAGAAAGACAGATGGATCTCTGAGTCCAAGACCACCCTGGGCTATAGGAGAGTGAATCAGAGCTCACGTCTTTAATCCCAGAATTTGAGGGGTATAAAAGGTAGAGGCATTTGGTCTAAGGATTAGTCTCTAACCACGTTGAGGAGAGCATAGCAGTCTGAGTGAATCTGAGGACCAGCGAAGTCGGGAGCAGTCTGAGGATTTCCCCTTTGGTCTGAGCTGAGGTAAAGGTAATAGCTAGTAGCCAGCGGCTTTGCTCTTCTGATCTCCAGCTTGAAGCTTGAACCCCAATATCGGTCTCTGGTCTCTTTTATTTACCGTTGCTACAGTGCTTTTAATTGATTTATTTAAACCAACCTGCAAACTGTACCGCCTGATGTGAGGAAATCAAAGTGCCTTTGTTACTGTTCTATTGCTGTGATGAAATCGCATGACCAAGACAATTTATGAAAGGAAACATTTGGGAAGCATGCCTTGCTGACAGTTTCAGAGGGTGGGCACATGATCATCGTGATGGGGCATGTGTAGACAGGCAAGCAGACATAGTGCAGGAGCAGTAGCTGAGAATTTACATCTTATCTGCAGAGAGAAGGCAGAGAGAAAGAGAGAGAGAGAGAGAGAGAGAGAGAGAGAGAGAGAGAGAGAGAGAGAGAGAGAGAGAGAGAGAGAGAGAGAGAGACTGGGCCTGATGTGGACTTTTGAAACCTTAAAGCCCACCCCTAATGACTCACCCCTTATAATAATGCCATACTTACTCCAACATGGTCATACTTCCCAATCCTTCCCAAACATTTCTAACTAAGGACCCAGCATACAGACACATGAGCATTCAAACCACCACAATGTCATTTTTGTTTTCTCCCTCTCCCTCTTTCTCTTTCTTTGGAGACTGAACTCAGTACAGGTTAAGTTAAATGCCTACCCACTTGCCTATCTCTTTTGTAAATATTCCAATTTTTATTTTTTCTCTTTTGACAGTAGCATGTTACCATTATAACTTACATAGTAAAACTGACTAAAGTCAGAAAACTCACTGACTGAATTCCTTCTAAAAGACTGTACCTAGTGAAATCCAGGGGGTGGGAGGGTGGTCAAGGACACCAAACTTATAACTAGCACAGATGCTATGCTGCCTGCTTGGTGGAGTGCTAGTGAAATCAATGAGAACTACGTATGAAGCATGACTTTTTCAAATCTTATTCTGTAGAATAGGTTTATACATGTCTTGGCAGGTTAGTATTTATCCTTGGTCAAATTACTGATCCTTCATAGAATGTTTTCCTGTTTCAAATGGAATGAGATTGTTGTGAAGCCAACAACAGAATCAGAAATCAGTTGATCAACTAGGAGATATTGCAGAAAATGAAAATAATAAGCACCAGTTTTCAGATGATTTTGCATGCAGACGCAAGTGGAGTCAGATTTAAGAATATTTTGCTCACTTTATTTTGAAGTGAATGACTTTTACTCAAGACTGTTACTAAATGGATCTCAGTGTTGTTTCTTCCTAAAGCCAATAATGGACCTGTTCTGTTTTATCTTAATTAAGCCAACCTGCTGACCATTAGTCACTAATGAGTAGAATGCATGTGTGACGCCCTGAAAAGTTGTAAGAGAGTTGAAGATGCCATCCAATACCTGAAAATCTCCAGAAGCGTAAACTCCTGTGGGTAGCGACAGAATGCCTGTACTGTTTCACTGGCTGGGACACCAGTATCCCCTCTAATGAAGAGCATCCCAGCAGCCATCCCTCCACGCAGGGCTCGGACTTTGCAGAGCTTCCATTTCCCAGACAGCATTTGATTGTGCCTCCGTTAGAATCCACCTGCCATTTTTTAAGAAGGCTATTCTCCAACCTCAGTAGACAAAGGCGAGAGTCCATTCTTCCTCTTAAAAATAGCTTCATATTTCATAGAACTATATGAGTTGATTTATTCATAATGCTAAATTCATCAAACTTTTAATAATATGAGTAAATAAAATTTAATAACCCGAAAGCTAACATAAATTCTTTATCGCACGTTATCATAGTAACTGTACAATTCTTATCAACCTTCACAGGTTGGTGTCAGGTGTTCGTTGGTAAGCTGCTGCTGTGTTTCCTCTATTGATCCAAAAGCTCTGACTTTAGCGCTGGATTGCATTAGCATGTTTGAGTAAAAGATGGTGCATACTTCTTTTCTTTGTGGTAGTGGATTCTGAGCTTTGAACAACAAAACTGCGCTGACTTCTGAGAAATTCCAGGAAGTAAATAGAATATTTCTAGGGAAACAAAAGACATGAAAAAATATGGAATTGGCTTTCAAGTTGAAGCTAGAGCCAATTTCATGAGTTTAATTTTCGTTCTTTGAGGTCATGAACTTACAATAAAACGAAAGACTAATTTGAAACACTGAACCTGTACATGAACTTGAAAGAAACTACACAAGGTTAGATGGTTTATGATAAACAACTATTGTCTGCCTTGGAAATCCTTTCAGTACTCATAAAGTCTAAATTAAAATTTAAAAGTCTAACAAATTTAATTTTGAGTGAAGCTGAAAATTTCTAACCATTTTTAGTATCAACAGCAATTATTTCAGCCCATGTGAATCATAATACTGGCATCTCTTGCAGTTGAGGTCTACTCCTAAGAGAACTGCAACATTAGAACAAAATACTTATGTTCAAAACCAGCATAAAAATGGAGAGATGGCTTAGTGGTCAAGAGCACTGGTTGTTCTTCCAAAGGACCTGGGCTCAATTTCCAGCACCCCCATGGTGGCTCATAACTACATATAACTCCAGTTTCAGGGGATCTAATATCCTCTCCTGACCTTTAAAGGCATTAGGCAAGCAGGAAAACATTTACACATATTTTTAAATCCAAAGTCCAGGTTTCTTCCCTAGAAACATACATTGCATACATATAAACAGACAGCTAGATGGTAACGAGCTATTTCTTCGGACTTCCTTTTTAGAAGGAGGGGCAAGGCTATTAGACTCAGAAAATAAAATCTCTAAGCTCAGGAAGCTTCCAAACATTGTAAAACTCATAATGTCCCGTTAAGGTTATTAATGGAGCCGGGCAGTGGTGGCGCACGTCTTTAATCCGAGCACTCGGGAGGCAGAGGCAGGTGGATCTCTGTTAGTTCGAGGCCAGGCTGGACCGATAGCCTCCAAAACAACACAGAGAAACCCTGTCTCATAAAAACCAAAAAAAAAAGGTTATTAATGGAGTGAGCAGTTGCTGGAGAGAAGAGATTCAAGCCAAGCTGCTTGCCGCTGTGCAAGCAGGTCCCAGGATGAAGCCTTCCCTAGTCATTGCCATGCTCTTCAATTGAGCTAGCTCTCAGACACCCATGCCCTTCTAAGCAATCGCTCACTCATGCTCCTGAATGTAACTTCTCAAACCTGCACAATTCATTATGCTAAACTTGGGGGAAATCACTGCCTTGGTTTTTTCATTGGTGTCCTGAAGTAAATAGACATCTGTTCATGTCTCTCCAAGAAAAGCTGCACAGCAGATAGATAACAGACTGTCTAGATATGTGATATGTATATACAAATATACACTCGCACTAATTCCATTTAAAAGCAGTAAAAGACAAGGAACCATAATGTTTTTGATAGTAATATGGACATAAGAGAAGATCTTTCTAAATGCACTATTGTATAAACCACGCAACAACCTATGAAAGAGCTGCAATTCTTTTTTATAGATAAAAGAAAATTTTAGAATTGAAGAAACTGAATTTCAGGAATTTACACACACACACACACACACACACACACACACACACACACACACACCAAAAAAAGCTGGGTACTTAAAATGAGGGCTTTCTTCTTTTTAATATAAGCCTATACCATTACTCTTAAACTAAGGGGATTGCAATGATAAAGCTATAAGTCTAGGCCAAGCATACATGACTTTGACCTACTTTAAATGAAGTTTCTTGAGGATGAAACTCCTAGAAAACTTACAGAAAGAAATAAAGGCATGCACATCAAAAATTCAATTCAAATATTATATAAAATTTTAGAAGCAAATACCTAGAGGAAGAGAAGCTGCAGAGAGTTCAGACTTGGAAGAAATGAGCTTCACCCTCTGTGGAAAATATGATTTTCTAAAAATATATGGAATGCCAGGCTAAAGTTAAATCCAAATAAAATGTAAGTTATCTTGAATCAATTTCTTTTATTTAAACACTATATGCCAACCTTTATCTATAAAGCAAAAATGTATAGAGTGTTCCATTTTTCCATATAATGAAGTTGAATTCCATTATGTCACCAAATGGGAGTGTGAGCTATTTCCATTCTTCTGAAAAGTGATCCGCAGCTGGTGACGAAGTGGGCTTTAAAGGTCTCAATAACATTTGCAGAAAGGTTGGTTATTTTACAGTTAAAGTAAACCTTTGAAATCCAAGCTTGCATTAATGTTTAAGAAAAACAGAATAGATGCCTATTAACAAAATATCCACACACATAGAACCACAGGATGTTATACCAGGCAAGAATAGAAAGTCTCCCAAAGCTAGTCTTATAAATGCTCAAGCCAAAGAAGGCTTGTGAATAGAATACTTGGAAGGCAGTCAGGTTTACAGGGAAAGGTCACGGTAACATTTTCCCACTTTCCCTTCTAAATGAATCCAACATGTTGCTCCATCTACATTTTAATGGCACACATTCAGGAAAAAAATTGTGTTACTTCTTTGAAAAAAACTTACAAAATATTTTGTTATGCAATTTTAGACTGTTTTATTTTCACCTACAGTTTTATAAATATGACCCATTCGTTGAAAAAATTAGTTGAAATAAGCTATGAAAGAATTATTAAACTGTTCACTTAGGGAATGTCAAAGTTCAATAGAACACACATCCATCCCCAAGTAATATACTATAACTTTAAGTAATTTTCTTGGGAAGTTATTCGTTTCAATTCTTTTCGTTTTTGGTGAAAGAGACTATGAATTTGGCATTACCTATAGACATCTACTTCATTACCAGTTGGTAATCACACTTTGGGTAGATAAGTACAGAGGGAACGTTTATGTGCCATCCAAACTGGGCTGACAGATGACCACAACTGGTAAAACATCCTTTTAGGATGTAGCCACTAGGAACCCGAATTCTTAGCTCCTGTTGACTGACTGACTGTACCTTCTTGCTGCATTGGAATGGGTGATTTGCCTATGTGGCCTTTTTCATCAAGGTCCTAGTCCTATTTTTAAGACCTTCTGGACTATTCAGGAAGTCCCATCTTCTAATACCAAACCCTTGGCAGGTAAGGATCACAGTGTATGTTTTGGGTGGGAGATGTAAAATTTAGATCAAAATAATTAAAAATCTCATAAAGCAGACTTAAAATTCCCTTTTCTAGACTCTCTTTCCAACCTGAGTCCAAAGGCAGAAAGGACTCCCAAGAAGTGACATTTCAGAAGTAGCTATAAAGACCGTGAAGATGTGATTCTATGAATTCTTCCTTGAACACCAATGGGCAGAACACTATGGATGACACTTGGCATAAGAAGCAAAAGGCCAAGCAACAGCTCCAGGTGCTTAATGGCCATCAGAAATTAATCAAGTGGAGGAGACTACCTCCCTGGATGGCCTGTCTCCTCTGCCTCAGTCTCCAAGATCCTCAGAAAGTATACACTTAGTAAAATTTGAATCCTACCACTCATGGTGAGCACACTGTAACCCCTGAACTGCCCTGGAATTACCTGTATATACTGCCTTGAAATTGAACATCTTTCTTTTTAATTTAAATTAGAAACAAGCTTGCTTCACTTGTCAATTCCAGCTCCCTCTCCCTCCCCTCCTCTCCTGCCCCTCCTACCAGGCCCCCCCAAACCTTACTCAATCCCTACTTCGTTCCCCAGGGAGGGTGAGGCCCTCCATGGGGGATCTCCAAAGTATGGCATTTCCCGTTCAGGGTTTAGGGCAAGGCCTAAGCCCTTCCCCAAGAGTTCAGGCTGAGAGAGCATCCCTCATTGTGGGATGGGCACCCAAAGTCCATTTGTATGCCAGGGATAAATCCTGATCTACTACCCAAGGCCCAATAGATTGCCTAGCCTCCTCACTGACACACACACATTCAGGGGGTCTGGAACAGTTCCATGCTGTCCTCCCAGTCATCAGTCTGGGGGTCCAAGAGCTCCCCCTTGTTCAGGTCAGCTGTTTCTGTGGGTTAAACAAGCCCAGTCTTGTCACCTTTGCTCATCATTCCTCCCTGTCTGTCACTGGATTCCAGGAGTTCAATTCAGTGTTTAACTGTGGGTGTCTGCCTCTGCTTCCATCAGTCACTAGATGAAGGTTCTGTTTCCCAGATTCTCTGGTAGTGGAATTGTATGCTGGCACTCCCCTGATACATGTCTAAAATCCATATATGAGTAAATACCATGTTTGTCTTTTTGTGTCTGGGTTACCTCACTCAGGATGGTTTCTTCTAGTGCCATCCATTTGCCTACAAATTTCAAGATTCCATTGGTTTTTTTTTTCCGCTGAATACTACTCACCACATTTTCTTTATCTATTCTTCAGTTGAGGGGCATCTAGGTTGCTTCCAGGTTCTATTACAAATAATGCTGCTATGAATATAGTGGAACAGATGTCTTTGTTGTATGAATGTGCATCTTTTGGGTATATGCCTAAGAGTGGAATGACTGGGTCTTGTAGTAGACTCATTTCCATTTTCCTGAGGAATCTCCATACTGATTTCCAAAGTTGGCACTTCCACCAGCAGTGAAGGAGCCTTACCCTTTCTCCACATCCTCTCCAGCATAAACTGGAAATTGAGCATCTTCTATACTTAGATTATTTCTCATTTCTTAATTCCCACTGTGATATTTTGTAATTTTTAAAGCATGTTAATGGCATTAATGGAATTCCACATTTTATTCATATGCTGAGGAAATGGATAAATCATTGGTCTCCTTTATTGACAAATTTAGATATTAACCTCAGGGTCCATGCTATAGAACTTCTTTTTCTTGTCTGTAGCCATTTCTCATCTCATCTAGGACACCATTTCCCTACCTTTCCTTCAATCACAGTGGTTCCTACAATTCAGTCTCCTCTCTTTATTTTTCCTTATTTTGGTGGCCTAGTGCTCAGTCCTTTAAGATTTACTGTACCCTTTCTTATGGATCATGTAGAAAAATCCATAGATAAATCTGAATGCTAAGCTTTTCAAATCAATTTACCATTCAAACACATCTCACTGTGTTCCTTCTTACCCCTCTTTGTTGTTGCAGTGGTCTCCTTACTCCTTTTCCAGATTTATCCAGTGGTGTAGTAGTCCCTGCTCAACAAAATATAAGAAATCACCTTAAAACACATATAAAATTAACACTATACTCAACTAGAAGCCAACAAATTCCTCCCCTGGAAGTCCCTATATGATCAACTCTTGTATGTATGTCCTACCCTGGACTTATCTTGCTCCCCTTAGGCTTGCTGGAGCACAAGCCATTGCTCAAACCTCTGATGTAGCAGCATTCTTTCCAGCTGGGCCAGCACTGAACTTTCTTCCCTTCTCCTTGGTCTCAGCCCAGAGGACAGCTTATGGAGTGAGTCCTTTTGGGCTCCTCCCTTCTGTCATCTATCATATACTACCCAGTCTGTGAAATGTCCCTCATTTTATTATGTGCTCCCCCTACTGGAGAGTCATGAGGTCAAGGGGAGAAATTGATGCCCTTTGTTCACTACCATCTCTTGGCCACTTACTCTCTGTTGAGTGAAAGAAAAAATTGCAAATATCCACCTATTACTATGACCATTTCTACACATATATAAAACACCTCAAAACTAAAGTTGTTTATCTTATTGTAAAGGGCATTTAAAGATATGGCTACAATACAATGAAGATATTGCCTTTAAAGAATTTTCCTAGGGTTAAAATATATCCAATCTATAAATGCATACCCCTAATATAAATTCATTTTAACAAAGGAAATGATTATTTTCCCCATACAAATAATATGCACGTAATAATAAACATATGATAATATGTTTTCCCCTTCCTCTGAAGTAGTAAATGTTTTAGTTGAACTATTGACTTTCTCCCAAAAACCACTCTGTAGTTCCCAGCCTCCTTTCTATTTTTGTGTGACCCATTTAACAAGGGCACTGAAAATCCTGTGTGTGTGTGTGTGTGTGTGTGTGTGTGTGTGTGTGTGTGTGTGTGCTAAAGTCTCTTTCCCACCCTCTGCTGGTGGAAGATGACCCATTGTCATAGCATAGACAGAAGGTTAAGAGCTCTACCAATCTTTTACCAAGGAACTCTTTGCTATTCTGGGTTGCTACAAGAAACAGAAATAAAATAACTATATCCCTATTATTAGTAGTATTATTATTATTTTGGTTTTTTGAGACAGGGTTTCTCTGTAGCTTTGGAGCCTCTCCTTGTACTCACTCTGTAGACCAGGCTGTCCTCAAACTCACAGAGATCCACCTGCCTTTGCCTCCTGAGTGCTGGGATTAAAGGCATGCACCACCACCCAACTGGCTTACATCTCTCTTTTTTAATCCAATTTTTAGAGCAGCTTTTCCTGTGCTTTGAAAAATGAACATTCTAATTATTATAGGGGTTAAAACTATAGCATTTATTTACAACCAAAAGATCGAAGTCTGTGTCAATGAAGAATTTGAAAAAACGGAACCTGTGTTTTAACTATTAACAATCACTTGGTGGGGCTATCTATATATGTTATTTTGTCTTCCTAATAACCTCCAACAGTGGCACATTTTGCAGGTAAAACTGACAGGGCTTGAGACATTTAGATTTTTCTAAAACAGTGAAGCCAATTCTGGAGTTCAGAGCTCAATTCTGTAAACACAGCCCAAAGCTTTCTTCCTCTCTGCTCTTTCGATTAGAAGTATGCCTTCTGTCTGGATGACTCAGAATTTAAAGTAGGAGCTGTTGGCTTACTTTTCTAAAACACATCTCTACCTCTTCTGCTTCAGATTGGAGTTCTGCAGAAGAAATGTGATTCAAAGTTCTCAGCAGTACATGGAATAACTATCAACGTGTGACTTAACCTGCAATTTGGCCATTGATTTCTAGAGTGAGACATTTAATCTGTCTGGACCTGGACCTGCTAGTCTGGTTGTCGCCATCCGCTAGAGGTAGTCTTGGAATCTGCTGAAGTAAGATACAGAAGCAACTGCATGAAGTGGGAACGGGTAACCCAAGACAGAATCACCATTTATTGGAGCAGTCTGGAGTCAAAAGAAAATCTAAATCTACAAGGCATATACTTTCCAGATTCACAAATTTCACAGATGTGGTTACAAATGGCATGGAAGATTCAACCTCATTTCCTGGCTAGAAAAAAAAGAAGGGAGTTTGCTCAAAAAGTATAGCAAGATGGCAACAAAAACTAAGCTTGCAATCATCAGACCTTTCAATGAATGTGTGCAAATGTCATACATTTACATGCATATGCATGTAATGTAGGTCATTCCTTGCACACATGCGTGTAGCAGTCACATGGGTTTAAATGGGTTCTAGCTGTTAATCGGTGGCAGATGTTTTGATCACTGAGACAACAGAGTGCTTATCCTGAACCTGTGTGCCTTTCCTATCATCAGGAACTCACCTTAGTCTGCTGAGAGTATAAATAAAGCACACATTATCTGGCTTTTTAGATGGCTGCCAACATCTTGATTTGACATCAGATTAAGGCTTATCACCTTAACATTAGGTTATGTATACAGAGAGGACTCTCAGGACTGGAGAAATGGTTCCGTAGTGGTGGGAACTTAAACTTACTTCTCTTCCAGAGAACTCCTGCCAGGTGGCTTATAGAAGCCTACAGCATCAGCTCCAGGGGATCTGATGATACCCTTTTCTGGCCTCTGCAATTCCTACATGGCATACTCTCTCTCTCTCTCTCTCTCTCTCTCTCTCTCTCTCTCTCTCTCTCTCTCTCTCTCTCTCTCTCTCTCTCTCTCTCTCCTCTCCTCTCCTCTCCCTGCTCTCCCTCTCACACATACAACCTCCCAAGACAAAATTTTCTTTCCAGGTCATAATTTCAAAAAGTGATTGACCTGGGTTTCTCTTTCCATCTTTTCACTTTCCCCTTCTCCCTTTACTTTCCCTCCAACTTCTAAAGCATTGTCAAATTAAGTTTTCTTCCCTTGTAAATCTCACCGCACAAAAGAAGTACGTTGGGAACCATCTAAGCACAGGCTGCTGGAGAAGAGTGGGTGCCCATGGCCTCTCCTACCAGGTCTATGACTGGATACTTTACTTCACCCTCCCAAACCGCTTTTATTTTTCATCTAAAACATTTGGAAAATCAAATTCACTGTTTCATCTCCAGCCAGTGCTGTCCCTATCATTCCACACTGGAACATTGGTAAAGTATTCATGATTCATGTAGCATATGGCTGTCAGAGGGAATCTGTAACAAATACCTCGTGTCTAATTTATGATGTGAACTATTGTATGTGTTACAAGTAATGAAAACCTGTTAGCAAGGGAAACCACAAAGATACCCTGAAGAGTAATAATGTGTACAAAACACCCTAAAGACTTCATTTTCTCTTTGGGAATTTTATCTGGCTTTTTATGAGTATAAAATTATAAATCATTCCATATGTTCTATTGGAAATACTGGAAAAAGAAAAAAAGACATAGGAATGTAGAAAATAGATTAAAATGTTTGAGGAAATTTTTGTGAGAGGTGTCTAAAATATATCTTAATATTTCAGGCTCAGTATATAAATTATGAGATTTTTCTTTGAGGTGTTTCATTTGGTAGTCTTTTGGTTGTGGGTTTTAGGTACATTGTAGCTGTTATTTGTCTGAATGGGTCCAACCCACAGCTAAGTACTGAGCAGAACTGGAATCCAGTTGCAGAGATGGAAGAGTGATGAGCAAAGACCAGGCTGGGGAAACCCACAGAAACAGCTGTCCTAAACAAGGGGAAGCTCTTGATCTCTAGTCTGACAACTATGAAACCAGTATAGGACTGAACCACGTCCTCTGAATCTGGTGTCAGAAGAACTGGGCAGTCTTTGGGGCCTCTTGTAGTGGAACAGTATTTATCCTTAGTGCACAAATGGACTTTGGGAGTCCATTCCCCATAGATGGATATTCTCTCAGCCTAGACACATGGGGTAGGGCCTTGGCCCTGCCCTAATTGATGTGACAGAGTTTTACGATCCCCCATGGAAGGCCTCACCCTCCCTGGGGAGCAGAAATGGGAATGAGTTGAGGTTTGGTGGGGAACATGGGAGAATGGGAGGGAGAGGGAACTGGGATAGATATGTAAAATATGATTGTTTCTAATTTAAATTAAGAAAATATAGAAAAAAAATTAGGGTATATTAGAGTGACCATCTTGAGATTGAATAAAACAGACAAAATATGGCATGGTCATCTAAAAAGAAATTTGTAAGTTAGTGTTTTATGCTATGTTTCACAGTGTGTTAATTCCACCTTAAAAATTATGTCTATAGTTTCTCAGTGCTCTGCCCCACAAAAAGACAGAGGAGGAAGTTACGGTGGTTCCCTTACATTTTTTTCACACAAGGAAAGCCACAGCGAGGAGCCCTAAAACTCAAAATCACCTTACATATACTAATTTCCATTGTCTTAAAATACTGAGTTAAAGCTACTGCCCATGTCTGAACACACAATGTCTTAAGTGTTACAGCTTGAATGGGAAGGTGTCCTGGCGGTTGGGAGCCAATAAATGCCACAAAGTCACACTGCACATCAAACGTCACACAAAAGATTTATTGGGAGGAGAAAAAAACAGGAGAGTGACTGCCTCTGCTTGGGTGAGAAACAGCAGAGAACTGAGCAGAAGGAAAGGCCAGGGTTCATATAGTTTTTCTCAGTGGGGGGGGGGAGATAGTGAGGTGGAGCTTTCCAGGGTAGGGATTTGTGGAATTTCAAGCCCAGTGGCTGGGTTTTTACTCTGTAGGGTAGAGGAAGTTAGCACAGTTAGAGCGTTCTATGGGTAGAATGGGGCAGTTGAAGGTCCTTAGGAGAGGGCCAGACCACCAGTGTCCTCCAGGGGCTAACAGTGACTATCCCCAGTTTCTCTCTCTCTCTCTCTCTCTCTCTCTCTCTCTCTCTCTCTCTCTCTCTCTCTCTCTCACACACACACACACACACCATTAAGTCTTTGAGAAAGTCTAGCTCTTTGTTAATTACCATGTGGATGAGGAGGGAATGAAAAGCAGTAAGTATTTCATATATAAATGTCCTCTTGGCAGGTGTTTTGCCTGTGTCTTGAAGTCTGCAGATTTCTGCAGGACAAAAAACTGACAGTCAGCTAATCAAGC